TTCAGCAAAATATCACCCAAAGGTGCCTGAGCCCTATACTATTTATGGACTATATAATGATGAATGTAATATAATTCCTTCCTTTAAGGATTCTTCCTGGCTGGGTATGGTGGCTCACATCTATAATCCCAGGCAGAGGCATGAGAATTTCTTGAGGTCAGGAGTTCAAGACCAGATTGAGCAACCTGGTGAGACCCCCATCTCTACAAAATATGAAACATGAGCCAGGTGTGGTGGTGCACACCTGTAATCCCAGCTACTCAGGAGGCTGAGGCAGGAGAATCACTCATACCCAGGAGTTTAAGTTTGAAGTTGCAGTGAGCTATGATGATTCCACTGCACTCTAACCTGGGCAATAAGAGTAAGACCCTGTGTCAAAAAAAAGAAAAAAAAAAAGAATTCTTCAGTTTTTTCAGAAGGGGCATATTATATTTAGTCTGTCTCTTGCAAAGAAATCAAACAGAAAATGTATCATTGTATTGCATTTCAAAATCATGTCCTATAATTGACACTAACCAGAGCACCAGGAGAGCTGGTGAGTTATGGGATTGCACATTTGAGTAGGATAAATTGAGAGGACAAATTTCAGAGGACAAATGGATTTTGTTGATTAAGAGTAAAGACTGTTGAACAAAGCATGAATTCTGGCTTTGTAATTAAGTAGCTACATAAACTTAATAAAAGAAAAAATTCTAGCACCTGCTCATGAAGCTGTTTTGATAATCAAATAAGTTAATATGTGTAACATGCTTAAACAGAATGAGGCATGTAATGAATTCTCCATAATAGTTGGAGTCATCATCATCATCATCATCATCATCATCAGATGTGGATTGTATTAGGCTACTGTTATAACAATCCAGATTGAAACATTATATATCATAATTCAAGAAGTATATTTCTTATCCACATTGCAGTAGTTGTCAGGTGAACAGAATGGCAGGGCAGCTTTTCAAATGTTCTCTATTCAGGGATCCAGACCAATCTTCAATCCATGGCCTTCAAGGTCTGCCCTAGTGATCATGATTTTTCCATCAACCTTAGAGGGGAACATAAACTGGGAGAAATGTGTGGACCTTTGGATGATAATTAGGAAATCATCAGACATCTAATTAAGGGTTCTTTTAATGGAGTAGTAGAAATTGCGAAGACATGAGGAGTGAATGTAGACTTCTGAACCACTAAACCACTGACAATATTTCTTTATGCATAAAATCATAAAATGTTTCTTTATGCATAAAATCAGGTGTCAGGTCTGTCAGTTCTGGGTTTTGTTGGTGTTAGTTTTCTTATTATATCCTCTTCTTTCTAGGCCTCCTAAATACTTTCTTTTGTTAAAACTTCAAACCAGTGATTTGAAGTATGTATAGATTGGGGTTCAGCAATCTAGTGTCGTTAAATTATATGGAGAATTCATAAAGAAAAGGATATTTAAGATATGTCCATAAATACAAAATTACAGACAAAAATATGGGTTTCATGTCAGAAAAGAGAGCTTGGTATATATAATTTCCTTTCAAACAAATATAGAAACAGTTTAGAAAGTCATATTTTTATTTTAAAAATGAAATGGCAGTCTTTAGGATATATTCCCTTTAGCATGCACCATGTATATTGCAAGTGAAATCATATTTTTAAAATATTTTTCCAAGCTCTCACTGTATACCAATACATGGTCCAGTAACTCTGATAATAGCACTGATAATTTTGACACAAACTAAACTTGCTGTCACTGAGATCACTAAGGTTACAGTCTCAGATGTGTTACTATTAATTGCCTGATATATGTACTGACCTTCTTTAAACCTAACAGTTCTGCTAAACTTAAGATAGATTTAAATGATCATGGTAAGTGGAAAATATTGTTTGTTACTGTTATTTTCTGGACATTTGAAAATATTGATCACGTAATATCAGCAGTGCTGAGATTTCCTTTGATTTGCAAGCTTGTCACTGATAATTCTTTCTAGAACAGGAGAGTACCACGAGAGATAGACAGTTCACCTGTGAAGAAAGGTTTGGGTGTGTGATCTTTTCAAAATAGGTTTCCCTTTTATTATCCCAGGAAATGCAGTAAAATATTTAAGAGCTTGTATAAAGAAGGAAGAATCTTTTGTTTCTTCTACATTTTCTATAATATATTTAAATTACTTTTTTATATTTAAATTACTTTTGAAATACAGTTTTTAAAATTCAGAGCTTGCCATTTACTTATCACATTAAATCAATCCTCATTCTGCATTTTGATAACCAAAATGTGTAGTTTCTCAGTTCTTTACACAACATACCTATGTTAACTGCTTTACCCTTGTTTACTGATAAATATTTTTGAGTCTTTCATAATGAAAATTATTTATTGTAGTCTAAGATTCTTCATGCTTTTTGTATATCTAGATCCTTATTTGGTTAAGAGTCTTCATAGACATATTTCCAAATTTACCATATTCCCATGGGTCGTTCTCTGTTACTTAGAATTTCACTAATGTTTCCATATGTAGATAGCAGCATAGAAACCCCAATTGTTACTTTGCATTGATTGATTCCAAAACTGAATATGTTTTGCCAACTAAATGATATGGTCTTCAGGGAGTATACCCAATATGTTTTTGACTTTATGTGGTTAGCATATTCTGCATGAAAAATGAAGATGCTTAAAAACATGTGCCCATGTGAAATTCAGTCTGGAATCTCAGAGCATATTGAACATCATCACTTGAGGAAGATAGTAAAACAAGTGTTTGCCCATAAATATAATCTATGGAGTGATTATATCTAATTCAATGTAATGAACCCTGTGTACAAAACTATTCTAATCCAAATTGGAATTTATAAGGTCAAGCACTTCTTTTTAAATTCTGTTTCAATGTAGAATTAAAACCAATTTTCAATGCTTTCACTTTCATATTGATGACTATATTGAAATCCACACTAGATCAGTCCTATATATCCTCATTTTTACTGCATTAACTAGTCATTTCTTGTGGTTACATTATTTTGCTTCCTTCTTTCTAGAATCTTTCAATTTTTCATGCTTTAGTTTTAGGTCTCTACTTGTCAATCTTTTTATTTTTAGCTAAATAAATGTTTAGTCTAGTTTTTACATATGCCATATTCTGTTAGCCAGATTATCTTCAACTCTCTGTTATGAGCACCCATGTTCTTTACATTCTTAGATTAATTATGGAATTGTGAGATTATCTTTCGTTTCATGTATTTGTCAACCAGATGAATAGTTAATGTTTTTGTCATTTCAGTTGCATTAGAAAATAGAAAATGACTAAACACATGCAAGACAGCCTCCCATTAAAATGATCTACCTTTTCAATTTACCATATTTAGGTTTTAAAGAATATGTACTAGACTCTTATTTATTTGTGCACCTAATATACCATAGAAATTCTAGTCATTGCTTGGTTTACTCCAATTCACAGCATTGAATTGATTTCTCTTTGTCTCTTGCTATTCTGTATTGCTAAGAAAAATAAAACTTATTTAGATATGTCATTTATTTTAGCCATGTTTATAAAAGAAAACTAAACCAATTATTTAGATTGAAGTCAAAGCACATTTTCCCTGTGGAGTAATTATACAGCTTTATATTCTATAGCTTGGAAAAATAAAATAATCTTGGATGCATAGACTTGCATACTAAACAGTGTCCACATACTGCTCTAGGGTTAACTGTAAATTCTCACTAGTATTAATTAAAATTATGTGGCAAAGTTACTCAACTACTCAATGAACATGACCTTTACATCTCAGTATTATTAACACCCATAGTTGAACTATTTGCTGCTGTCTTAGATGTTCTCTCTTTATTCTTTATATTTGTATAGACTAAATTTTACTGGTAAATTATTTCTGGAAATTATGCAGCTTTTAGCCACTGAATTATGAGGATGATCCAAAAATTATGGAAATGTACTTTTGGTCAAGTATGTAGAGTTCAACTTTTTTCACTAATGGAAATACTGCCTAATGTTCAGTAAGTTACCCTCATCTCAGATACATCAGCTCTGAACCTATAATAGCCTATGTAACAAAGGAATCACTGAACTTTATTTAATTCATTGAAGTTGATGAAAATTAGTTTTGAACCTTTAATGCAAGTCACTATGAATCTGTGAGGTATTACCATTTGACTACAGATCAGTTTAAATTATATTCAAATATATGAATTGCCTTGAAAGTTCGACATCAATTCACTTTTTTCTATGATGCCTTTTGATGAAACCATTATGCCTGCAGTTATTATAACCAGCATTTATTAAGCACTACCTGTATATTAGGTGCTGTATTGAGCCCAAGGAGAGACTATGAAAACTTTTGCTTCTAAGGAGCTTGGAGTCTGGAGAGACAGACAGGCATGCAAATAGTGCTTATATGAGATGCTACACATTGTAATATAGGAATAAAATGGTTCTTAGATGTCATGAAACAGGAGTGTCAATCCTGGGACAAAGAAGACAGAGAGAAAGGTGAGATAAGGGTAGACAGATAAGCTGTTTCCTTGAGTATTAAGGTTGATTGGCAGACCAGGTGCGGAACAAGAGGTATCAAAATAGTCAGGGCAGGCAGAGGAAGTAGCTCATGTGAACATATGGAAAAGTGAAGAGCAAGTGGAATATTTGTGAAGCCTTCAGTCATAGGGTGTAGTTCAACGTCAGGTGCTTATGAGAAGAGTTGCAGGAAATGAAACAGGAAAACTAAGCTGGAACCAAAAACAAAGGATCTTTAATGCCTTCACCAGAAGTGTTGATTTATGTAGCAGGTAATGGTCAGCCCTTAAGAAATTAAAAGCTATTTCAGAAATAGAATCTGTATAACTTGCTGAACAGTTGGCTGTGGGGCTGAGAGAGAGGCAGCTTGGAGAAGTCTACCTTAGGCAGATGTTAAAATCACTACCATTTAGTAGTATGGAATCCATAGGACAAATACCAGGAGTCTTCAAATTGAAAGAAAATATTGACTAAATACTGTGTTGTTTTCTTTTTCCCTAGTGGGAGAGACTTCTGAGATTTGCCCAGAAGCCACTGATTTTTTGTGCCTGGACAAGAAGTGTGTTGCATCCCACCTTGTCTGTGACTATAAACCAGACTGCCCTGACAGGTCTGATGAAACTCACTGTGGTAAGTCAATGTCTTCTGTTACACAGCTGATTCATCACAGATTTTCAGTTTATGAGTAGAGTTACCTATTGGCATTGATGACTGAAAAAAAAAATGTTCTTTTCATGCACTAGGATAGATTTAGAATAGCCAAATTATTTTCCCCAATTTCCCCATTCAAGTATCAAATACAGATACAAATGTCAGGCCTCCCCTACTTTTTACCTTCATTCTGAGAACTATAGCAAATTATTTTACAAAAATTTCCCATTATATAATTATGCAGCATTTTATGTGGGACCAAAATTAAAATTTCCAGGAACTACTTTAGCAGACTCCCTTTCATTATTGGTTTTCATCTCTTTTTCTAAGAAATGGTTGATTTTATAGATGAGGCTGAAAATGAGCACCTTCGATAAATACTAGTTGAATGACTAGTTTTGTCAATTACATTGTACTGGAGAAATAAGAGTAAATGGGCCCTATCAGATTTTTAATTTAAGCTTTAATTCAAGTGATGTTTTTAAAGTCATCTATAAAACAAGATACATAATTTTAAAATATGAGCACATATTTAAATCCAAATAATCTTTTATTCACATATCTTACTAAAGAGCTTTCATAGAGGTCTTGATATCATATAGGCTAACTGTTGCAGTTATTGTTTGATGCATAACAAGCTACCCCAACAGATAATAACCTAAACAACAGTTTCATTTTGCTTACACTTTTGTGGGTCAATAATTCAAGAAGGGCTCAGCTAAGGTAAATTTTATCTCATGATTCGAACTGGTAAGGGTGACTTCTTCCCTTTCAAGTTTGGCATTTTGATACTCTATCTTACCTGACATGACATCTCCTCCTCGAGGGCAGTCCATGTGGCTTGGGCTTTACATAACATGGCAGCCACAGAGTGGTGTACATAGGCCTGTCTTCTCCCAGAATTAGTGTTCCAAGAACAAGCGTTCCAAGAGCCCCAGGAAGAGCAGCAAGAGTTGTTTTGACTTAGCCTCAGATGTTCCAGAATGTCACACCCCAGCTCCTTCTAATGGTCACACAAATAACAAAGTCTAATCTAGATTCAAAGATAAAAAGGGAATAGACTCCACCTCTCAATGGGAAAATGTCACATATCACAGGGTGGGAAGGATTCAGAGTGACCTTTGCGGAGACAAGCTACCATCCACACATATTTAATTTTTTATTTTTTAGTTCAATATAGGTTTTATTCCTCAGGATCTTATGGGGGAAACATGTTAAAATATAATATTCCTTGTTTTTTTTTTTTTAAATGAAAATATCCCTGGTTAAGTTTTAAACTTAAAGTGTAACTTGAAGTGTAACTTAAAGTGTAACAAATGCTGTCAATAATAAGTACCACAGTTTATTTCAGGGATACAGTTGAATAACATGTGTGTGTGTATGTGTGTGTGCGCTCACATCTGTATATGCGATATAAATAGAGGCTAATTTATGAGTTACTAGATATTCTGGTTTTTGAAATGTGAGTGTTGCCCATTTTGTTTTTGCTTCATTCATTTTTTTTCTCTCAGACTGCCTTATATGGTTTTTATTTTTCCCACAACTATTTTAAGTATTGATGTAAAAACACACAGAGCCAGTTTTGAGATTAGAAACTGAAGTCAATACATATTCAAATCTGAGGGGTGTTACCCACCACTTTGATGGACCACTGTAGAAAGTATTTGAATATATTAAAATAAAAGCAGTATATTGACAGATAAAATAGTCACTTTTCTTAAAACCTCTTCATAGACTTTTTTCATATTTAAAAAGAGCACTATACAGCACACGTAGAAATACAGATCACTTATTCTGCAAATCACCTTCATCAATATTTCATATTAATTGTCTCCTAGATGCATTGAAAGTATTAGATTTGGATTCCTTCAGTGAGATAATCTATTGTGAATAATGGAATGAATGACAACATTTTCAAAATGATCTTTAGAGAAATATAAGGAATAAATTAACCTTTGGGAATATTAAACTTAAGTCTTCATATTGACTTTGGCCCTCACTTGTTGAGAAATTATTTAAATTCTCAGAGACTCATTTTTCTCATCTGTATAGAAGATATAATAACATTCATCTTATAGAGCTGTGAGCCCCAGCCCTCAGGCCGCAGATTGGTACTGGTCCATGGCCTCTTAGGAACCAGTCCACATAGCAGGAGGTGAGCGGAGGCCAGGGAGTGAAGCTTCCTCTGCATTTACAGCCACTCCCCATCACCTGCCACCCGCCCCCAGTCTGTGGAAAAGTTGTCTACCATGAAACTGGTCCTTGGTGCCAAAAAAGTTGGGTACCACTGTGAGTACTGTGAGAATTAAACAAAATAATGTAAAGAACATATTTGTTCCATGATCTGGGATTAATAATGTTAGCCTCTTCCATTTCTTTATTTTTTATTCTTTTGAAATTTATCCATCAGAGTTAACATCTCAATTACATGTCTTTTGTATACTATCAGAAAAAGACGTTATCTATTTCTCATGGCCAAATTATCACTGTAGGCTATGAACAAAGACATTTTCTTTTACATCTCTACCTCCTGTTGCAGAAATTCATGGTTTATAATGAATGAGAGAAATTCTCTTTAAAAGAAAGAAAAAATTAAGTCTGAAAATTTGCTCTTTTTTCATGCAAAGAAAATATCATCTAAAACATATATGCAGTGTATAGTGTTTAGGCTGGGGATGGACGTGCAGCGTGTGGGTGGGTGCTTTCTCTCTGCCTCTAACAACACTGATGCCCATCATTATTCAGTCATGGCACTCTTCCCCACTGTACTCAGATTCTTCAAAATCTTTCTCAGTGCAGGATGCCAAGAAGCCATTTCACAATAAATAATACTTTTCACTTGAGACACTATTTAATATTCCTGTACCATGCATTATGATTTGGCAAAATAAGATGAATCTGTGGACATAAAGAATTAAAAATAATTAACCATGAAGCCATCTCTTAAATATATGTTGATCAATATTTATACTGATCATGTAACCATATGGCTGAATATTATACCGCTAGGAAATGGCAGTTGTTTAAAAGAGTGTTAGTAATGTTTTTACTTCATTCAAGAGATCAGGACAATGATCACAATTTAGAAAATATTTTCTCTAAAGTAACTGCCATTTTGAAAACTACTAATATTTATTAATTGTCAAGAAATATTATGATGTCCTCATAGTATCCATCATTCAATGGATATGTATTGAACCATTTATGGTATATATAATGCAGTTCAGTAATAATACCTGCTCATGACGTGGAAATCTTTATAGTAATTCAATGTTAAACAATTAAGATTGCAATACAAAATAAAGAAGTAATGGCTTTCCGAATAAATGATAACAAGTGTGATTACTATTAAGTGCCTTACACACACACACACACACACACACACACACAGTCTCTGAGAATTGACATGGTCTGGGAAAAGAGAGATAGGATTGGAGTTGAACATTCAAGGGTGAGTATGATTTGTTAGACAGAATGGAGAAGGAAAAATATATTAATTAAGATACTTATAGCAGAAATTCAACTCCAATCAGTTTAAACAACCTGGCAGTATCTGCTAATTGCCGATGTATTCCTTTTCTTTAAAAACAGAACTCCCATTTTCTTTGTGGCATTATCGTGATCAGCTACAAATACCATCTTCTCTAAAATTCTTCATATCCATGAGGGGCCAACGAGATATACATAGAAATTCTGGGAATTTATCTTTCTCATGAAGAGATACCAGAATAGAAAACAAAAGCACACACGCAAAAAAACGTATTTTATCCTTTCCTCTTTTCCTTTCTATGCCTTGAATATATGTGATACCAGGAAGTATAGTGGTTATCTTGCAAGCATGGATGAGAAATGAGGACGGGAAAAAAGATAAAAAGAAAAGAATGCTCAGCTGAACCTCATTACCAGTCCTAGACTGGCAACTTCCTGGCTTCTTGTTAACTGAGATAAATTAATTCCTCTCTGTCTAAGTGACTGAAAGTTGGGTTTTTAGTTGCTTGGAACCAAATGCATTTCTAGCTAATGCAGTAAGAATACTGTATTATCTCAAGTAGCAAGAAGTCCAAAAGCAGTCTCTAGATTTGGTTAATTCATTGGCTTAATATTGTCATTAAAGTATAGAATTGTATGGGCTCATTCCTTCCTTACGCTCTGCTAGCCTCAGATAACTGGCTTTGTTATAGAATTAGCTCCTCATATAATTTGTTTATTCCTAAGCATCACATCTTTGCAATGATGTCCCAAGAAAGAACAAATCTATTTTCTTCCTTCTTGTTCTTTTTTTAAGAACAAGACAAAATTTTCCTGAGAGCCTCTTCTACAGTAAGTCTTGTCTAGAATTATATACCAAGAGCATGTCCAAACTAACCAGGAAAAAGAGACCATCACATCACAGTTTGTTAGAAGAAACCATGAGCCACCTCTTGAATAGAGGAGGGGGCTGTTTCCCCCCTGGAAAGCCATATCTGAGTGAAAGAAGGTGAATGCTCAGATAAAATTGCCAAACTTCCCTGACAAGAGAAAGAAGGGATGGCTGACAAAAGAGTAACCAACTGCTCGAGGAAGCTTTTTAGAAAGAGAGAGAGAGAAGTAGTTCTAAATGTAACATTGTAAAAGTCAGTTTATATTTAGGAGATAATTTTCTGAAAAATTTGTTTGGAGTAGAAGTTTTGAAGATGAGACAGATTTCATCATAAAAATACTTTGCACAAAAGTAAAGTTCATTGCATTCAAGGCTAGAGATTTTGGAGTATTTTCAAACAATGTAAAAAAAATGAATATTTTAAGCAAGAGAAAGTAACACAAGAGCAGTCTTAAAGATGATTAATGTGGTTTGGGTTTGTAAGGTTGATAGGATGAAGGCTACACTAAAGACAGAGAAACTCTTAAAATAAACCAGGGGCTTGAACCAATGTGAGGGTTATAGAACTGCAAGGAAGAGAATTAATTAAACAAGTTCTCAAAGGAAGAACTTATAGGTATTGGTGACAGGATATGAAATGAAAACTGTAGAATCAAGTAAAACTCTGAAGGTTTGAGTCTCTAAAAAGAGAGAGAAGATTCATGCTATGAACTTAAGCCACACCCATTTGGAAAGGTGCATAATGGGTTTGTTTTAGTCTTGTTGGTTTTGAGGAGACATGGTTGCATATTTCAAGTGGAATATTCAGGAATGTTGGAACGTATTTGTCTGCATTTCATCATGGTCGTTGATTTGTAGGCCATCTACATGAAAGTGTGAAAGGCCATGGTAAAGGATGAGTGAGGGTATATAGAGTGACAAATTTAGCAAGTAATTATAATTTTAGAAATCAAGAGGAGAGGGGTAGTCTGGCTGTATCTGCAAGTTAGAAAGAAAATGTAAGATTGAAGGACACGGAAAATTTATGTCACTTTGAAGGGAATGATGCTGTAGAATACTAATAGTAGTGTTTTGATAAGGAGCTGAGATCATAAACAAGGATTATTCTTAGAAAGGAAAAAAGGAAAAGTGACATATTTTGAGGTGGAGAGGATGAAATATGAGAGAATTTATCCTGATTGTGTAGATATCTTTAGAGTAAAAGGGAAAATCACATGGTAAGTAGGGTGGGACAGGAGGCACAGAGGTGGTCACAGAGAATGGAAAAGGATGTGGAATTACTATTGTATGGCTTATATTAATATGTCATGATGTAAATTGCATACAGATATAATAGAATCTATACATGACATCATTCTAAAGAACACAGAATGGCTTTATTGTATGTACATTGGAAGATTCTGAGTGTTTATAGACTTGTTGCCTAAATACTGGGAGAAATGAATTTCTTATTTTATTTATATCATATAACATAATACAAACTATTCTCTATCATATAATACTGGCATGACAAGCATAAAAATGAATATAAGAGCCCATAAAAAAGCATACACAATTTAATAGATTTTATAGTCATGGAGAATGAATGAAAGGAATATACATGATTAAAAATGATTCTATTTTTTAAGGATAAGATGCAATAAAGCTTGAGAAGTGAGATGCTGATATTTTATTATGTTATATTATATTTTATTATATTCCTGGGGATCCAGAAAATGTTGTATAAAGATATTAAAGCTCTGCTTGCTATATATTTGACACCCATTTTAACAGATTTTTTTCTGATTAAGTTTCTAGTTGATAACATTAGTTTTATGTTAAAAAAGAGTTATGAAAGAGAAGGAATTTTAAAAATAACACAAATTTCATCTTTCTAAAAAGGAAGAACAAGTCAATGATGATCTTTGATTTCTACTGAATAAATCACCCAATAATTCATTCTGTCTGTATAACAGAGTCAGATTTTACAGTGAGTGCTCAAAAATAATAACTGCTGTGCAAAAAAAAAAAATAATGAAAGAAAAATGAAAGCCTAGATATCAGGGTATAGTGATGGCACTTTTCACGGATGACTAGAAGTAGACACTCAATTATTATCTGCTAGTTTTTCTCATTGTGAATAGTTTAATTTTTAATGAGTGATCAGTCAATAATTTTAGAGGAGAATTTATTTCATTATTTAGTGACTAGCTCTGAAATGTTATACTCCAATGATTGATATGGTATGCTGAGAGGGTGTATGTCCTATACAGTTTACTACTTCTCTCAAAGGTGCCTTTTCTTTAGTAAACGACTTTACCTCTCTCATGGGCTATGCTGTTCAAACTTCAGAGTGAGTGGAGAGACTGAATTAAACATCTAGACAACTGAAGCTGTTTTTTATTTCACTGGAATTATCCATATTATCATAATGCTATGTTCATTGTTCATGTGTAGACACAATTTTATATGCCATCTATAAATATTGTTAGTCAATCCATATAACTCCTTAATGGATAAATGACAATATTGATACACTACTTCTAGATCCTTTGGTTAGAAAAAAAAAAAAATTACAGTGTATAACTTATATTACCATGGGTACAAATGTCTAGATGCTGTAAATTTATTTATAAAGAATTAGAATATACAAATACTATTTTAAATCATCCCAAATGCAATATAATATCAAGTGTGATATACATTTCTAGAATTTTCCAGTAACTATTAATAGTTTATTTCCCTAGGACAATATACAAGCATTCCAGGAAGCTGCAATTTTGAAACAAGTTTGGGAAACTGGACTACAGACTGCAGTCTTGTTCAAGACTCTGAGGGTGACTGGGACTGGACCATTGGCACCAGAATTCCTGCTGAATCATTGATTTCAGACTCTGATCACACACCAGGTAAATCTGGTAGCAATATCCAGACCAAGAAATACACTCAGCTAGAAGCCTGCTGTAACTATTTTTGTGAGTGTGAACATGCATTCCTTATATCCACGTAAGGGTAGAGCTCATAGGATTTATGAAATGGGGGGATAATCCCTTCTATCATAACCCCTGAATTGCTAAATAGTCATAGAGCTGACATTGCTACAACAAGGAAGCACGTGACATGTGTTTTAAGAGCCCCACAGATTTTATTCAGTCTACCAAAAGGTCTCATTAAAATCAACAGTTGGAATAGGGGTAGGTGGGCGGCATTCAGATTAATAAATGCAATAATCAAAGGTATACAACTGGCAATTATAAGAGTTTTCCTGCAGTGACAGTGGCCATTCTGCAGACCACCCATTTCATTCCTGGCAGTCTGAAGTGCAGGGACCAAGATATAAAAGGTAAGTTGTGATGGAATGAGTGTGCATCAACAAAATCCTAAGTTTTGGTCCCTGTCCTGTGATTTGAGATTAATGCAGTCTTTAAAGGTGTTACAGCTAATAGATTCAAAGTAGAAGTGAGCTTGTAATCTTACTTGCTTTTACCCAGAAGTCCTGCACATTGAGCACTTTTCTTTTCTTAGAAATCTAACATTTCTTAGGAATAAAAGTGGAATTAAAAAAAAAACTTTTCTTATGAATTGACATTTAAATTGATGAAGTTTGAGTAAAGCAGATTGTCCTCCATAATGTGGCCTCATCTAATCAGTTGAAAGCCTGAATAAAACAAAAAGCAGCAGCTTCCTCAGCAAGAAGGAATTACCCAACAGAATGTCCTTGGTCATCCTGAATGCACCTGATCTCAGCTGATCTGGGAAGCTAAGCAGGGTTGGACCTGGTTAGTACTTGGGTGGGGTTGGACTTCATCTGCACCATGAGCTTTCCTAGGTCTCCAGCCTGCAGCCCACCCTGTAGATTTTGAACTTGCTAGCCTCCACATGAGCCAGTTCCTTATAATAAATCTCCTTGAATATGTAGACACATCCTATTGGTTCTGTTTCTCAGGAGAATCCTGAATAACACATTATTATTCATAACAATTGAAGCATATATACAATGAAAAGGTACAAGATTGTATGGAATTAAAATAACTTTTCAAAGGAGAAAAGTAAACAATATTGGCTTAGCCATTATATGACTAGTGAAAAGAGGACGTTCATTTTATTATTTATATAATTCAGGCAGATTGAATGTATCATGGTATTCAATTGTTGTATGGATGCCCATTCTTTTTTTAAAGTTTCTCCCTAATTCATCTTCAGATTGAAAATTTTTGTCCTTTTGACTTGCCAAGTTGTATTTCCTTTTTCTTTCACAAGTTTTTGTTTCGTTCAAAAAACATAAAATTAGTTTATGCTAGCTTATAGTTTAAAAATGATAAAAAAAATCAAGAAACAGAAGTAACTAGTAGGATTTAGTATATAACAAAAGTAAATATTTTAATTCAGTGGGAAAAAAGATTTATTATCCAATATGGTGCTATCATATCTGATTATCCACCTGGAAGGATATAAAATTAAGCCTCGGCTTTACATCAAATGTAGAAATATAGTCCAGATAAAGATTTAAATGGAATAAATTAAAACAATGAAACTCTTGCAAGAAAACAGAGAGTAAATCATGTGCAATTTAGAGGCAAGATCTAACTTTCAAAATCCAGAAGCCAATTTCTAAACCTATTTAGAAAGCATCCTGGCCTCATAGACATAGAAGGACCAACAACACATGATGACTTTTATAAGGATATTCACTTCAGCATTGTTTTTCATCAAAAACATGGGAAATAAGTGAATGCCCATCCCATGATCATGTATGTGTTCTTGTGTTGATTTACTTATCTATCTAATGGCAGGCGCCTGTTGGGGACCTGTGGACACATCAGTGAATAAAACAGGCAAACATCTCTGCCACAGTGGTACTTGCCTTCTAGAAGAAGGGAAAAGATAATGGATAAATATAATAAATAAAAATAAATTAGGTGGCTTATTAGAAGTTGAGGGGAAAAAGAGAAAAAAACAAAAAGTAAGTAGGAGTGGGACAGTCAACGGATGGGTATGTGCCTTGGAGTCGGGGAGGATGAATAGGTTGGTCAAAATAGACCCTGCTGAGAAAAATGCCATTTTAAAGAAAAAGCTTAAAGAAGGAAGTGAGGGAATGAGCCACGAGCAAACCTAAGGAAAAACTGTTCCAGCCAGAGGAAGACCAGCCTGTGCCTGGTGGCTGTCTCATCCTGGGTGCTGGTGACATTGGGGCAGTCTAATTAACTGTTGGGGGGCTGACCTGTTCACTGTAAGGTGTTTAGCAGCATCCCTGGCCTCTACCAGGTAAATGCCAGAAGACTTTCTCTCCCTGGTCATTATAAGCCAAAATATCTTAGAAATTATCCTTATTGAGAACCTAGAGGAACAGCCTGGAGGCCAGGGTAACCGGTTAAATCCACAACATGCAATTTCATGCAGCTACTAGAACAAGAGAGTTTAGTCATATATAGTTGATTTGGAGCAATTTCCAACAGATAATGCTGAAGGAGTAAAGCAATATACAAAATGATAATATAGTATGACACAGTTTTGTTAATGCAAACAATAACTAACCCTCCTTATTTGTGCATACATGTAAATCTGTACGTAGATATCATGTGAGCATAGAGGAAGGGATACACACTTGTTTATGAACATGGATTACTTGGATGGGTGATAGGGTTGCAGTAGAGGAGAGGGGGAATAAATTCAAAATTAAAAAGAAAATAATTAAATAACAGGAGTTACACCTCAAAAGAAAATCTAACTTACATGATGGCAGCACATTTATGTGTTTGTGGAAAATGTGGTGGATATTTTTAAGGTTTCCCATTTGAAAAGTCTGAACTATTGCTTTTCTCTTCTTAATATTTATTTTTCTTCAATATTTCTTTCTATCAACTTTATAATACTAAGTAATATATCTTTAAAACTTTTTTGGAATATAAGTAAACAGGAAAAATATTTCCTGGTAATCTCAGTACAATGATATAACCATCAGTAAGCTGTGTGTTTATGTATCCTGCCATGTTCTTTCTTACTGTACAGATTTTCAAGTAAAAATAGGTTTCTACTTGGTTTAATGATTTAAAATATATAGTTAAATAAGTTTATATGAAGTGAAATATCTTTAACAGCGTGGTTTTAGTTACAGCAAAAAGTCTTCCACTTTGTGGATATATCAGAATTTATAAAATTATCTAAAGGTAAACTCTTTATTTTCTAATGCTTTCATTACAATAAGTATAACAACAGAGAATTTACATTTAGATGGAACTTTCTTTTTTTTTAGTTTTGCGATCAATCCTGAGGATAAGCGCATTTTTCTTTTCCTTGAGAAATTATAGGAAATAAGCCAATTTTCATTTATTCTTCTAAGATCCAGATAATAACATGTAGATAAAAATGCCTGTGAGTTCTTTAGAAATCATCTACAGAAATATTCCCTTATCCTAAGACAGTATTTGAAAACTATAGAGCATCTCTGCTAGTATAATATTACTAATGGTACGAAAGGTATTATAGGCTCAGTTGAGGAAAAGATAAAAGTATGGTCAATAGATATGAGAAAGGTTACATTCACTGTTCGAAAAGAAAAACATGAGTGATCAATTGATATCTTTTAATGGTATAATTAAGGACTATTAATGGGAGTATTTATTTTCTTTTTTACACTTTCATAGCTTGTGTAAGTTTGTTAAAGACCACATGAAAAGCTTTGAATCTGGGTATTTATGTAGTATTATACATAAGTAATGTCTACAGATAAAGAAATCACTGAAAAATTATTTTATTATCCTCCCTGTTAATCAGTTCTTGAGACAGTGCATTTTACAGAGTAATTTCTTCAAAGCACCCTGATTATATCATCACTGATACACTAATACAGGGCAGTGAACTTGTTTAGGCATCTCTGAGACAATGGACTGCTAAATAAATTGTAAAGACATTAATTAATTTTTACCCTCTGGGAAAAACAAAATTCTTTATGAGAAGGCCAACAGATTCAAGAACCTACGGTCTATTTCTAAGTATCACAGCATTTCTGTTAATTAAAGCTGTATTTATGGAGCTTTTCACTTATTGTTACCAAGATGAAGAATTAGATATGTAAGAAGGGCATTTTCAATGCCCAGCACAGGCCTATTTATGAACCTTTTTGGAAACGTTGCTGAAGTTGGAGAGAGAATCTACAAATATCAATCCACTCTCTGGTCTACACTTGAATGTGTTTAGACTTAATATACATGAGATTTAATGGCAAGAGTGACATTTGTGTAACATGAATTAATGAAAGCATAACACACTATGCTACTGTCTCTTTTTTTTCCCTTCCTTAATGACTTTATTTTCTTTGAATGGTATAATTGACCATCTCCACAATTACACTGTAAACTCCGGTAGGGCAAGAGTCACATCTTTTGCTATTTTTATATTCCCTCTATCATTTCAAATAAGATTGAATTGCACTTGATAAATACTTTTGTAAATCACATATTACTTGGAACTATCCCCTACTGCATTTATTAATAGCAAAATACTTTGGATTACTTAATTTCCCGAGTGACTACTAAATATCACACATTGTATTAGGAACTGAGAATATGAATTAACTAGATATTTACTAAGTAACTAAAAAAATGGGATATGCTCACTTATATAGTACATATGCTTACTATTGTGCAATTCTATATTCACCACCCAAAGTCAAAAAATACTCCCAAATAATCTTAGTATTACTAATGCTTTCATGTATATAATGGCAATGTTCAATAAATACAATTTAACTTGATACTTGGTTGATAGTGTTATGTAGGTTAGGCAAATGATAACTGTATTTCCTGTTGGACAGACAGGACAGGTATTAATCCCTGCATTAGATAAGGAACACAGGCACTAAATAGTATCTCTAAGCCCATATGAGTAACAAAGCCCGAGCTAAAACCCT